GGGCACAGGGTGGACTCTGTGATCTTGGAGGGCTTTTCCAACCTCAGTTATCCTGGGATTCTGTAAAAAGACCCTTTAACTAATTTATTTCCATTTTCACACTGGCACATAACATTCAAGGACTCATTAACACTCTGTTACCCACCTTCCATCACGACCCCCTGGGAGTCAGAGGAACTTTGTCAAGTGGGGGATTGGTGAGTTCAAGTGACACCAGATCTGACAATTTGAAGGAAACAGGCTTTGCTGGATAATTATATTATCCAAGGCAATAAAAGCCTCCTTTCTTTCTTTGCAGCCTTCATACTCTGGGCTTCTGTGAATTCATTTTTCACGCAATTCATTATTTATTTTCTCCCCTGCTCATTTTCCTCTCTCATTAATTAGTGTAACTCAGCTCTCATAAAAACATGGAGGTTTGAAGCAATCCCAAAGACACCAGGGAAAAGGGTAAAGCAGAGAGAACAGAGGGTCTTACTCTCATTCTCCTGCTCACTGCCCGGCCTTACATGAGCCTGCTGGAAGACATGTGGCAAGGTGGGAAGGGGAACACAATATTCCAAGGGAACAGGGATGTCCCAGTATGTTAGGGGGGGAAAAGTGACATGAATCCTCTCCCTGGACACTCCAGACAACAGCCAGCCTTCCTGCTTGCTGAAGGAATTATCAACCTTCAGCTGTTAGAGCTAAAAAATAAAGACTTGCTGAGCCTGCAAACAATTTTTCCCCAAGTGCCATAACCACCCAGCTCTGGATTGCTCCGTCCCCATCCATAAGTTGGAATGCTCTGTCACGTGGCTCCTGCAATTCCAGCAGCAATCCATCGGCAGCTCCCATCAGCCAGAGGACATGAAGGCTCTTTGGAGAAATATTTAGGGTGTGCAGAGGCTGTGTTTTCCTTTGGGAAAACATCCCATGTCACACAGAGCTCCTGCCTTATCCATTAAACACAACAGGGCAGCAGGGTTGTGATGCTCCTAACTGGAGCATCCTTCTCTCCCAGCCAGACTGGCCAGGGGGGTTTGGAGCACATCCCTGCGTCCAGGAATGAGCACACATGGCAATCCCTGTGCCTGATGAAGCACTGGAGAGGAAAAGCCCTGGATGTGTGCTCAGGCACACAGGATGTGTTCAGCTGAGCACATGGAAGTGTCCTTGCAATCCCAGAGCTCGCTCTGAAACCCACTGCTCAGATGACAAAGGATGGGAACTGGCAGCATTCCCCAAGCACCCAGTTATCTGGAATGGTTTGCTGGAGTTGGGATAATACCTGAGCTGGGGACAGCAGGAAATACCTCATGGAAAAGGAGATCCCTCCTGTCCCAACCCAACCTCACCCCGGCCTGTCCCTCCTCTTGTGCCTCCTCTCAGTCCCTCCCCCCACAGCAATCCCACCTGGCACCTCCAAGCTTCCCTGCAGCTTTTGGGATGCTCCAGGCAGTCTCATCCTGGAAGACACAGGATGCCAAGTTCCCTGAGATCCCAAAGGTCTTGTCCTGGTGCTGAGCTCGTGGTTACACAGCAAACCAAAGAGCTGAACCAGAGGTTGGTCCAAAGCTTTTAAACTGGTCAGGACCTCAACTGAACATTTTCTAGGAGACATCATGGAATCACTGAATCCCAGACTGGTTTGGGTTGGAAGGGACATTAAAGCCCATCTGGTTGCTCCAAGCCCCGTCCAACCTG